GCCCTTAACCAGTCTCACATCTTCTACTCTGGCTCTCTCCAGTCTATGGGCAGCTGGCAGAGTGATAACTAAAACGCAAATCACATTGGCCTCTGCTCAAAATCTTTCAGAGGCTTTCTATCAAACCTAAAGCAAAATTTAAAGTTTTCCATAGTCTATCAGGCACTAAGGGATCTGGGCTCAAGCAACTACTATTCCCTTCCATACTTCTTTGTATCTACTGCTGCTGCTAAGTGCATTTCCACCTCAAGACCTCTCTCTGCAGTGATTCCACCATCTAGAAAGCTTTCTTCAGATGCTCACATGACCTGCCCCCTCATTTTCTCAGAGCAGCCTTACCTGGCCTATCTGATGTAACCATGCCTTTCTGCTCTTATTCTTCAGCTTCTTACCTGATTTGGTTTTCTTAAAAGCACTCAACACACTAGGTATTACATAATCTGACTTCATTTGTTTATTGTCTCTCTCCGCTAAAATGTCAGCTCCCAGTGGGCAATATCTGTGTCTGGTGTAAGGATATCCCACTGCCTACGATAATGTCTTACATGAGTATACCTCTCACAATCATGTAGTAAGTGCTCAATGAATATTTACTGACTGAATGCTGTATAGCTACCAATAATTTAGCCATATAACATATAAATAGGAAAACAGGAAATACACAAGGATTACTTCTAACCACAGACATGCATTTATAGGACTGCAAAAGCCCTCGCAGCTCTTCTGAACCTGAGTTTAATTATCTATTAGTATGTCATCCATTGAAGGGCTGTAATGCTCATGGCAAACTTCACTGAGTTTTCTCTGTATTGTCTTCAATGGTCACAAACCACCGTTCATTCTGTAGCTTGCTGGATATGTACTATCGTTCATTCTATACTATACTCAGCTTGCCAGAGTAGCTATAATTCCACTGTAACAATGTACAGTAAGTTCTGCAGGATTTCATGCTTAAAACCTAGCCATTTTATGCTTCAGATCGCCAAGTGTGATGGGTAAGGAGACTAGCTTTAAACTTCAACATGACATAAAGTCTTGGGCAAGCTCCATAAGAGCAACCAGTGACTGTTTTTGTTCACTAGCTATCCCAAACTGCTGGCACAGGGACTGGTATTGGTGGGTACATACTAAATATTTATTGAATAAATGAACAGTATTTAAACAGGGAAAATGAGTTACCTTGGAGTTGATGTATGGAGTAATATTACTAAATGGAGCACAATAATTAGATGTCAAATCCAGAAATAAGGTTAGATATTAAAATAACATGACCACTTAAAAGTTTCTTTGTTTAAAAAGTCTTCATTTTAAGAAACATGAAACTTATAAAAAAAAAAAACTAAATCAGTAAATTAGACAAACTCACTGAAGATATAATGATGCAAGTAAACACTGGAAGATCCAAGATATTTTCTGAGTTATTTTCAGACAAGTCATACGAACAAAAATGAAAATGAGTTTTCTAAGTAAAAGCTACATTTAACTTACAGGAGTTGAAATCTTCTTTGCAGTTTCTGTGATTACTTGTTCTAGAGGTTTCCAGATCTGAAATGCATAGCGACCT